TCTTTCCCGATTATGTTCGAAGTCTGCTGTTGGCTTGGCCTCTGCACCTGGCCCCTGGAAAGCCTGTTGAACAAATTGTTTAAGTGTTTCCCTCAGCAAATTAGGGCCTGAACTTTCAAAGAGCTTTTTTTTCAGGATGAGGATCACAGTGTTGAAAGTACACACTTTTAATAAGTTGCATAGTGTTTTACATGTTTTAAAATGGTTGCAAGTGAGCAATTAATGTTTAAATAATGGAATTAATAAGATCAGAGGGGTAGAACTGTTGCAAAAAAAATGCCCCCAAATTAGGTCTTTCATAAATCTTTATTTTGTAGAAAAGTATTTTTCAGATACTATTAGCATATTCTCACTGTTTTTTCTAAAGCACAAATCAATCATTATGGACAAAGTAAGTATTTTTTCTTCTTCTGTTCCATCTTTCACCTGTTCCAGCCTTTCTAGTAGGTTACATCTTCTTAAGTTCATTTGTAAGCAACATAAGGGGAGTCATTACCTTTTAGAGTAATTTAATACTTAAAATAGATTTGACACCTGATTTTATCTGCTACGTAATGCAAACAGATTACAAAACAGCACTGTGCCATATACATGCTAAGCAGCCCAACAGAACATTGGATGAGTAGCCAGGATGTATCACAGTGTACAAGTGTTGTCCAGGGCTATTTTAAGAATATAAATTTGTCTTAATTGCTTCATGGCCTAGGACACCATATGTGGAAATCGGGTTTACAAAATATGTGCAAAATAGTAGCTGCTTATTTTGATTCTTTTGTATGTTGTTGTTTGGACTTCTTATTTTAGTTTATTTTATTTAAGCTTTACTTTGTAAATAATGAAAGGACAATAGCTGTATTTAGAAGAAATGTATATGTAGTTCTACATGGTTATTAATTGGTTAGTGTAAAGAAACCTTCAATTTGCTAAGATTTGAGATATAAATTAGGAAAAAGAACGATTTTTTTTTTAAATAAATCAGGGAAGAATGAATAATAAATCCAAATTCCTAATTCTGTGGTTTTCAGCTGCCCATAGTTCCTCTCTCAGACTTAAAAAAACAAACTGTTTATTTCGCAACTGGATTATTCGGAAGAGTGTACAGAAGAGGTATGGCTGTCATTCAGAATGATTATTCATGATGGCTTTCGATGGTCTTGATGAGTGAATAAAATACTGCAAGTGAATACAAATTTACAGGATACTACAGTATGAATTTTCTTTTTGTCTTGAAGCATCATATTGAATGGGAGCTTTTAATAGTATTTTTAGAAGGGAAAAAATTGTATGGGAGACTTGTACGGGAAAAAATACATTCAAAAGCTTTTCGCTCTGTTAATTATTCTTGATCTGCTTTTTCTGCAGTTCCTTGTGTTTTTTACCAATCAGCTATGAATTCTATTTCAGCTGAAATACTTCAAATTTCTACAGACTGGACATGCCTGTATTGTATTGTAATGGAATCTTAAAAGCAGATTTTTCAGTTATATAAATGAGAGAGCAGAAAAAGATGTGACTGTCATCTAGCGAGCGTAAGTTAAATCCCCAAAATTAAATGAATGCCTTTCGTCAGTGTCAAAGTAGTTTGACCATGTGGGCAAAGGTTAGATGGACAGGGTGAATGACAGAATAGAAGCAGAAATTACTACAACTGCCAACAAATGCAAAACTATTGAGTTTTACATTTGAGTCGTGCTTTCGGATCATGTGGACTACATCTGACATTCTGAAACAGGTGATACGTAAAAACTAGGAGTTTTGAACAGATCTGTTAAGCGTGTTACCAAACGACTGGAAAGTAGCAAACACAGGTCTGGCGAGAGAGGCATCTACCAAGAGCAAGTCGCATCTTGAACAGCTCCCTGTGGATCCCTGTCTCTCTCAGCTAAGTGTTTAAAGTTGGATGGGCTGAGGTTGGGCTGTAGCTGCTTGTATTTAAAAAGAGAAAAGTGATCTGGCCAACCACAGACCTGGAAGTCTGGTCTAAACTGTATGCAGAGCTTTAGAAAAATACAGATTTGCCAGAAATATCTGGATCTAGAAAAAAGTGTCAATAAAGCATTTGATGTAGTGTCACCTGGGAAGGAATGGGAACATGGGGATTAGGAGAGAAACTGTAAAGTGAGATTGCCACAAGTCAAGTTAAAAAGGAAGATATTAGGCTTCAAGGAGTGGTTTTGGGATGATCCTCTTCAATATTTTTCCTGGTATCCCTGATAAAATTGGTAAGAGTATATTGATGAAATCTGGTAATGATATATGCTTATAATGATATGGGAATCATCACAAGTCCAGAGAATATTTCAGGAGAGGTGTTTCTGGTTAAAGCAGGGAGGTGTTCATATCACTGTTTAAGGCCCTGGTGAGGTTTCATTTGGGATACTGTGAACATTTCTAAATAATTGTTCTATAGTTCTAAATAAATCAAGAAGGTTGAACTGAAACAGCGGTAGAGAAACGCCAGAAGGATCACTAGAGGGATTGAGAGCCTTTCATAGGAAAAGATTTTAGAAGGGGCTTTGCTTGTTTACTTGAATAAAACAAGAGAGGAGATAGGTGTGCTGTCTATAAATATATCAGGAAAGAAAACATGAGGGATGGAAACCATTTAATTTGCAGGACAATGCTGGCACGAAAACAAACAGATATGAACTATTTATTAGTAAATTTATTCAGGAAATTGGAATAATGTTTCTAGTCAGTAGAGCAATCACATTCTGAAACAGCTTTTCCATGAATTTAGTGGGAGCAAAAACATACCTGTTTTTAATATGGTGCTTGTTAAATTTATGAGACAACTGTGCAGGAGAGCCTTCTGCAGTGGCAGGGAACTCTATGATTCAGGAGAACCTTTCTGTTCTATGTTACTATGCAAATGCTTACAAATATATCAGCAGAATATTTTGTACAGATTTAAGCTTCATAATATGTGAAGGATTTGGGAGTCTGACCCGAACAGTAAGTAAAGTTTGGGCGTCCTTAAATGCATGCAGGTTAGGTTGTGCTAGCGTGACTTCAGTAAAGCACATGATGTGGTATTATATAGAAAAGAATGAAAAAAGGGGGATTAGTAGGAGAATTGTTAAGTGAGACAGAAAAGGTGGGGAAGCTGCAGATGGCAAGAGGGTTATCAAAGTTCTTCAAGGATCAGCCCAGTGTCGTAATCCCTGTGCTCACCTTGGATACCAATGCAAGTATATCAGATTACCCTGTGCTCTCATGCTTTGTTCTCTTAAGATGAATACTATTTGAATTTAGTAACGTTGAATCAGTATGGCTGTTGAGAGTAGCAGGGGCTATAGCTTGTTGGCTAGCGGAGCCTTAAATTAATGTGCTGAGCTTTCTTAACACACAGCAGGAGGTCAAATCCAACAACAGATTAACATGTAGACTTCTCCAGAGATACCAGCAGAGATGCTACCTAAGGTTAGTTCAACTGCATTTAATCAATCAACAGCTTAAGCTCAAAAAGGAGAAATGAAGTAATACTGCTCTCTCCTATGTAACTTGTGAGATGACAGCATTAAATCCATTGACATTACCACTAGATTCACTTCAGCACCGAGCAAGCTCATGCCAACAAGAGCAGAAAGTTAAGCAACTTAACAAAATATTTCCTTTGAAATGTGCCGTTTTGCATTTTCTGGAATCTTTTATACCACTGTACACGTGGTTGCTCATACACAGTGCTAAAAATTACTGAAATTACACTGTAATCATTTAGGACTCTGAAGTTTTAGGGTAGTTAGATGGCTTATTTACTAACTTCTGTGCTTTAAAAATGCATCTGCTCTTCTAAAAAGACACACTGTTTTAATGAGGTAGTACTGATTCTACCCTCTCTATCTTTTGATTTGCGTTGGCTGTTTAATCACATAGTGGGTATGCCATACCACTTGAACTTAAGTAACAGGACTGTGAGCCCGTTCACTGTCAACTTGACTGTAGAACATCACTCAATTTTTTCCTTACTTCAGACACTGCTAATCAGTGATGCAGAGAGTGATTCAATTTTTCAGTGAATCCTATTTACGTAAGAGTGTGCAGATGTGCAGTCACAGCGATAGCTGTAATTCAGTCATACAGATGGCTGCTAGCGTTTTAAAATTCTCTGAACTGATTTACGCATAGTCAGTACATATTCTGAGTTTTATGCTAAATAATGCTTCAGTTCCTGCTTTTTCTGCTCTGATTTTAGCTTCAAATGCTTGTG